AACAAAAAAGATACAAAAGACTCAAATAAAAAGAAAACATGCAAAAACAAGTGTCTATGGATGAGGCAGTTTAGACCTTCCTCTTCTTCTGGTTCTTAGAGCGGATCCAGATAGCAAACTCTGAAGTGTTGTTCCATTGTCAGGAGTGACCAAGGTATCATCCAGTAATTTTTCAAGCTGAACAGTGTCCCCAGCCTTCTTCCTCCGCCGAGAAGTGTAAACTTGCAATTCTTCTACTGAAGGTTGTTTAGTCTGATCCGTAGAAGAAAAGACAGTTGCAGCGATGAGTTCCTGAGTTTATGTAGGACAGTCTTCCAATACTTGGGAAACACCTGCCCTCTGAACAGGTAGTTCTACTAACTGATTAATAGTAGTAAGATGGTTTGTGTTTGACTCTAAAACTTCTTCATTAGTATTAGGAGACACCTTTTCTTTCATCTGAATATGAATGTTCGCTTCATCTCTATCTTCAATCATCTCATAGAGGGGAGCCTGCGCACTCTCCACGGTAGGTAAAGCTTGAGAGGATAGTATGTCCACTCCAGTAGAAGAAGGGGCGGTGACTGCGTCCTTCCTTCCAGGAGCAACCACCTGACTCTCCTCCAACAAACGACCCTTATCAACATTTTCAGAAACAATATCAGTAGACAAACCATTTTGCACTGTATCCGCCATGGGCATAGCAGTAGGTATCACAGACAATGAGGAAGAGGGTATAACCTCCGCAGAAGTGTGCTGGGAAACAGGAGGTGGGGCTACAACCGATCATAGATGGGGATGCAACTGATAACAGGATGAAGAGCTATGACCAAACATTCACAGTGAGAGCAGTAATGGGGATGACGTCCCATCGCAATCTTTTGCCAATAACCTTGATGAGGGGAGCCAATCCAAATCTCCCCTGGAAAGGGTTGAGTGATGTCGCGCTCTACAAACACACAAGCTTCAGATGGCATGGTTGTATCAAGCGTGTGAGTGTCGACCTTCAGCGGTTTCCCAAAGATAGTTGCAAATGTATAAAGGGATTCATAATTGAAGAAATGCACTTTGAGCCCTGGAAAATTAACCCAAACCGGGTAACCCAAACGGAAAATTAACCCAAACCGGGATAATAGGAGATTCTAATTTAGGATCAAAATCTACTGTCCGTTCAAGAATTTTCATAAAGCGATTATCGATTTTGAGAACTTTTTGAGTTTGAGAGTTGAATGAGAACGTGCGGCCATCTAGCGAACCAACTTTCCAACCCTCTGTGAGCTTAAGAGAATCGAAATGCTTTCTAATAATCTCAAGCATGGGATTATTATACGGAAATTTCCCAACAAGAGTATATATATATGCTGAAACCAATATACTTGTTTCCTCATTAGTGAGAAATAGAGCGGGTTTGCCATTCTTTCTTCCCAGTTTTTTAATAAAGGTATAACCACCTCCAGATTCATGTGCATTATGAAATTCTTGAGGGAATAAACAGGAACAGCCGACTGCCCCCGGAGTAGAATGTAGAATCTCCGGAGACAGCCGCGGCATAACTCGGGGCCATTCCCCCAAACCGGAACAAAAACTCCACTCACGAAGCTGGAGCTACGATGAAGGGAACCCAAATCTCGAACAGAAACACGGAAATGACCCCGATTCGGCGAGCAGGAGCGAAGCCCTTTGTTGTCGGGAACGAAGACCGAAGGACACGAGCAAGCTTGTCGTCTGGCAGGAAGGAGACGACTCGCGAGCAGATCGGAGAGAAGCCCTTCGTTGTCGGATACGACAAAACCAACCCGAAAGCCGCGAATCTTCGTCGTTGGAGACGATGATGCCCGTGGAGGAAGCCGATAGTTTTAATCACCATCGGCCGAATCCCTAGAGCAGCCCGACGCCATCTCCATCTGGGATATATATATATATATATATATATATATATATAATATGGGGGCATTTACATAAATAGCACACAATTCTTATGTATCTATATATCTAACTCCTAAAGATTTATATTTACATGCATGCCACTCAAATATTTCAAATCAGATCATAAATATCATCATCATTTATCTGTTTGAAAGTGAATTACAGATTTTTATGCAAAGTTTGTGGCACAATGTTCTTATAAGCATAAATATCAAACTTTGATTGTTAAATATGTAAATATCTAAGAATTGTGTGGCATGTATGTAAATTTCCTTACACACCCCCACTTTAAAACTTAAAAAAAAATCCATAATTTTCTCTATAGTGCCAATTCACGTACAGAGGAGAAATTAAGGGGAAACAAACGGGCTTATGTTATATGTTTAACTGTTTATAAATTCTTACATATATTTGGATAATTTACTTTCCTCTAATAGCTTCGTTATTAAGCTGATTTTCCTTCCCAATGTTTAACTCGATAGCTGCAGCCCCTGCCTCTTCCTTTCCAGCTTTCCAACTTGCACTAATCCACATAGGGATCGCTGGACTGAGGAAAATATGAGGGTATGGAATGAAATGGAAGGGAAACTTAACATATATAATTTTCCGATATATTTTACTTTTTAATCCAAACACTTAAATCCATCCATGTGTGTGTGTGTGTGTACAGGGGATTTCTCGTTTTTTTCATAGGGATTTTTATACTTCCTTCTCTTTCATATTCATAATTAATTATTTACTTATTTATTGATCTTTTTGATTAAAAAGTGATATATAGGAAGTCAAAATTTGTGAATTCTAACAATTTTCTTTTTGATTTACTTTGTTGTCCATTTATTGCTATAATTTTTTGGTATTTTTTATGATTTCATCATTAATTAGTCTTAAATTCTAGTACTTTCTTTTTTACTTAAATAAAGTGAGTTCTTGAATTATATTTTTGTTACTTGTGCTTTATAAATCATCAATTTTTCTATCACATGAAAGCCCACGTATCATCTTAGTTGCAATAGGAAATCCTAATGTTGTGTCATTTAGCATCTATAAAAGTATTTTAAGAATTCAAGCTGATCTATAATTTGCCTTATTTCAACTATTTAGGGTCCTTTTTTCAAATTCTAGTTATTAATTCAATATTTTTGAGGATTGTCAAATTGTTAACTTGTTCTTGGGAGATAAATTTGAATAACTTATATTCATGGTATCTCACATTTACGGTTCTCCTTTTTAATCTTGTGACGCTCTGTGAATCACCTTTTGCTAGTTTATATCTTGTAAGAAATTTAACCGATAATAAAGAAAAATTCAGAAGATACCTTAAAATTATTTTACTAAATATATATAACAACTAAACTCATTTCAATTTTCTTTGTAAATATTTTTAACATGAATTCGTGTCATTGATATTGCAAAGTATTGGGTTTCTTTTTCAAAGGGTTGCGGACGTTTTATGCATTCCAGGGAGTGGCCTGAGAACCATCATTTATCTGGTATTTCCTACAGTTTCATACTAGGATTGCCTTCTAGAATGCATTCTTTTACAATGTAATTATAATATTTTTGAGAAGGTTTTCAAACTTTCAAATACATCACGTGGGCACTTCGGATAGAAAGTGTTGTGGGTTAAGGATCGTCATCAAAATTGAACATTTTTTAGATGTTTGACAAATCTGAGCATAGAGAACTTTAAAAATTATCTCATCTATGTCCATTTTATTATAAATATAAGGAATGCATGTTATAGGGAATCCTTATTATATTTGAATCAATGTTATCAAAGCGCAATGCACAATGCACAATACGATGCACAAGTCTTTATTTTTACTTAAAAGCGTAGAGTGAAGCGTCACTTTTATTAATCAAAGCGCTAGTAAGTTATGTAGAATTATCAATATATACATTTATTAATAATTATACAATTCAAAATATGACTTAAAAGTTGATATAAAATAGAAAAAAAATGGGGTACAATACATAACTTGAAGGGAAATATTTAGGGTAAACCTATAAATATAATTTTAAATAATTTCTAGTTTGTTGCAATAATTAAAAACTTAAAAATTGCGAAAAAAATATGTAAATTAATTGCAATGCTTCGAAGCACGCTTCAGTTAAGCGATGCAGGAATCACTCGCTTCGCTTTGCTTTGCTTTGCTCATGAAGCACGTTTTTAAAAACATTTATTTGAACATCAACATTAAAGATTGTTATATTGATTTGTACTATGGTATGTAATTGAACTTTGAGTAGAGAAGTAGGTATAATTTAAATATTCTAATAATGGAGGTGAACACCAGGTATAATTTAAATATTCTAATAATGGAGGTGAACAACATTGGGATTATAACTTCGGTTTTAGCTTGTTACTAATTCGAAGTGTACATCCTGGAATTTAATGGTTGGCATAAGTAGGATTCTTTTGTATTAATACACCGGGCATTTTTTTCTACTTATTTGTAGTTTCTACTTTTGAAGGTTGTGCCAGTACTTAGTGGTGAACTTGTCGTGGAAGTAGGCATAATTGTAGAAAGATTCAATTAGGATTAAGACTGTATTTTCTTAATTTAGAAATATATTCCTAGGTTCCTCAATTTTGTGTCAACACATTTTAGATAATAAAATTGCCTTGGATGCTATCCTAGAGTGAATTTACTATCAAGGATGCTGCACACATCCTCTGGGACTATCGTTTATCAAATATGCCAATGATTTGTTTTTCTGCAGTAAAACTTTTGATTCAACTTCTCTTTGAAACCAAACTGAAAATATACTAATAGGTTGCATTGCAAAACTGAGATCTTCTTATATCATGAAACCATCATTTCATTTGTTGACATGATTTCTGAGGTTGTGACAATGGAAGACATGGTGCTCGAGTTCATAAATTTTTTTTTCTTTTCTGTTTTAGTACATACCCATTAATGACAAGATTTATCAGTGAACTTGCTGATCTAAATTTCTATTGTATCATAGGCTTTTGTTTACTGGGATGCATAAGCAGTTGTCTGGTTGTTTATACCATTTAATCTAAGTAGTCCTGTACCTGTGATGTTACCTATTTTTATAGTTGTTAATCCACAATTAATTCTTTGAAGCATCTCTTGCCTCGGGCCAAGGAGGGAACGATAAGACTGAAGGGGACCACAATTGAGCGAGCTATTCGAGACCTTGAGAGGGTGGTTAAACTGTGTAAGTTATATTGTAACTTATGTTTTTAATTTTGATGGGGACATGAGTTTATGATTAACTAGAAATTCATTTATCAGCCAGACCACTAGACCCTGGAGTTCAAGAAGACGATTCTTCTGCTCATGGTGTTAAAAGGAGATTACCTCTAGAAGTAAAACAAAAGCTAGCTAAAGTTGCTAGATTAGCGGTATCCAACTCTTTTGATCATATGATGTTTGTATTCTTCTTTATTTTTTCTAACAAAATTTTGCTAAATTTTTCTTTTTGCTCCTGGCTTATGATTTAAATCTTTAAGTTGTTTTTATAAATGTTAAGGGCAACGAATTAGATTAAGGTTCAGTTAATATTTTATCAGCATTACTTCCATAAATGTTTTTATTACAGTTGAATTAAATGGAAAAGTTTGAACATAAGTCTCAATGAAGCTTATCCCAAATAGTTGGTACAAAGTTCATGATGATGTAACATCAAGTGCTTTTGACGTCTAAGGTCATCTTTGGTCATGGCTTAGGGCTTTTAAATCTGATTAAGTGGACGCTTAGGTTACTCTTGCTTAATATGAAACTTTTATGGTAAAAAGTTCAAGTGCTAGTTTATCCTGAATTATATTTGTTTAATCAGTAAGATAAGGTTTCATAAGTTAATTTAAATCTAGTTAATAAATTCAATCTGTTAATTTAGTCTCAAGTTAACCTAGTGATTAAGAGAACCAATCACTCAGTATTCATTCATGAAGAATTCTATAACTTCTGAAGAATCTCTCTAAAACAAGTAATTCTATAATGTTGTATCATGGTGACCAAGTTATTGCTTTTGTGCTAGCTTCAAAGCATCAACAACTAAAACAAATTATTTTTAAACAAAAATTTTAATAACGTCATACTAGATTTTTCATTAATATAGAGGTTACATTCAATGAAATTGTTAAAAAAATTTGCTTGCTTTTTAAATTTCGTCTTATTTTCTTACAGGTTTTGGCTGTTATCTTGATTTTTTGCCTTGTATCTGTTTATTTTTTTTCTTCTTAACTAATTGGATAAAATTATGCTAAAATGGATGTATCATATTTCGTGGCTTGTAAATTCCATGTTGAACAATATGAAGAAAACTTTAAATAAGTAAAAGACACTTTGCTTTATATCCAGATGAACAAAAACCAAACATATTTTAAGAAATTCAAACCAATCGATGGCTATCTCCGCTTTTTGGTATAGATAGGTAACTCTATCTTTACTTCTACCATGAAGTGAAGAATTTCTTCTCTTTTTGCATTAATTTCTCTCATTGTTAATGGATTATTTCAAAAGATGTGATCTTAATAATAATTTTTATGAGAAACTATACTTACAATAGCATTTGTGGGCAAGGTATAGGCTTGAACTTTCTTCGAAGTTGCTTTTAATTTTTTGTAATGGTAAAAGGACTAATATGATGACTTAGGTAACACAGTTAAGCATTGGTTTCTATATTCTTTAAAGATTTAAATTGGCCACAAGATTGAGCATGAACTTTGTTAATAGAAGTGGTGGAATGCTTTCCGAGTGGCAAAGAACCAAATCATAATATCTTTTATGAAATTTTGAAGATTTTGATTACCATGGCTACCAACTAGCACTTTTTCAGTTTTTGAGGCAATATGATTTTTTTATATTATCATGCAATTTATTTATATGTTGAGAAGACTTGGTGGCTGATGAAGAAATAGCATTACTGGTAGTTTAAAAGATGAAACAAATTAGGCAGCAAAGCCTTTTGCTATAAACAATTAAAAGGGAGACTTACATATAGTTCTGTTTGGTGTACTATATAGAAAAATTTTATGATAGATGGGACTCTGCAATTTACTGAAAAATTTCACATTCTAAACAATGTAAAAGATTTACTGAGCAATGATTGTCTTCTATCTAGCTTGCTTTTTGGGATGTAAAGCAAATGAAAATTGTCATCTTGTTGAAAGATTTCATAGTGTGCCGGAAATGATCAACAAATCTAGTATCAGTCATACATTATACATGTTGGAAGCCCATAAAAGTGAACAATGCCACGAACGAGTAGACGGGCTATGCATGAAATGTTAACAATCTTTGTACATGACAAAGATTGACGGTCGTAAAGAATCGGTGAACTACAACAAACATACTCATATTTCTATGTTGTCTTATGCAAATCAAGTATAAAATCCAACTTATATCTTTTTAGCGAAATTTGAGATAGGAAGCTGAGTGTACGTCTTGTGGGCTATTTGATTTCCTTGTTACGCTGAAAAGTCCTACAATGAAAAATAGTGCGAGTTACATCTTACTTTATGAAGTCTCAGTAGAAGTGATTCATGAGAATTCCTATAGTTTTATTGCTATCATGCATAACAAAATTTATTGTATGTCACCCCAAAATAAAATGTCAACATGGTTAAGTGATCCTCAAAAGGGAAACCCATCACAAAGTGTAGCTACATGAGTGGAATGACTATTGATAAAAGATGCATGTGTTCTTAAAGTTAGGGATGGAAGCACAATTTTTTTTCTTTTTTTTTTTTTTTGGTTGGGAGTTCATGGCATTGAAATAGACTAATGGTTAAGGTTGAGGGGATGTGGCTAATTCATCGACATTCTTATCATCAATTCTCACTCTTTTCTTTGGTACAAAAGTGTACAACAACCCCAACAACAAGCCTTTATCCCACTAAGTGGGTTCGACTACATGAATCCTTTTACTCGATTGTGTCTTATTGAGTTTTATATTTTCATTTTAATTCTAAAAAATTAAGATAATTTTTTTATACACGATGCCTAGGTCTTTTGAGGTCTACCTTTACCTTCCTTAACATAAATCAAATCTAAGATATCTACTCTCCTAATCGGAGCATCAGATAGTCAACGTTTATTGATATCAAACCATGCAAGACAACTCTATCTTATTTTCTCTGCCATTGGAGCTACACCAACTCTTTCACGAATATTTCATTTCGCATTTTGTCTGTAAGTGTAAATTGTAAGTGTAAATTGCTTGTCTTCTTGTCTTCCTAAGCATTCTCATCTCAACAACACTTAACTTAGTTTTACGCTTCTCTTTTATAGGCCAACATTTAGCTCCATAAAGCATTGTAGGTCTCACCATCAACTTATAAAATTTCCTCTTAAGGCTAAGCGGTACTTTTCTATCACACAATAAGACCCGATGCATTCCTCCACTTCAACAATTTAACTTGAATTCTACTAATAACACCCCTATCTTTATCACTATCACTTTGAACAATAGACCTGCGATATGTAAAACTTTCATTCTTTTTAATGATCTGATCACCCATTATTACGACTCTGCCACTAAATCTACTAGTGCTAAACTTTCCATGTAGTTAGTGTTAGATCTACTCAAATAAAGGTCTTTAAAGTAGACCTCCATAATTCAAGTTCTTTCTGATTTCTTTTCCTAGTCTTATCTGCAGGAAGGATATCATTAGCATAAAACATACACCAAGTTAATTCCTCTTGTAAATGTCCAATAAGAGCATCCATAACTAAAGCAATAGTATATGTGCTTAAAGTTGATCCCTAATGTATTCCAACTGAAATAGGAAGATATTTGGTCAATCCTCTTTCTGTTTGAACACTAGTAACAACCCTAGTATACATATCTTTAATTACTTTAATATAAGCCATATCAACATCTTGCTTTTCTAGAACTCTCCAAAGATCTAGAACTCTCCAAAGAATTTCTCCAAAGAATTTCTCTTAGAACATTATCATAAGCTTTTTCTAAATCAATAAAAATTATATGTAGATCCTCATTATTTTCTCTACACCTTTACATTAAATCTCTCAATTAATGTATAAATTTCATGGTAAACTTGCCCGACATAAATCCAAATTGTAATGCAAAATATTTGTTTCACATCTTAACCTATGTTCTTTTACTCTCTCATAATTTTAATGTATGGCATATTAACTTAATTCCTGGATTTGCACACTTTTGTCCTTCCCCTTTTATCTTAAAATGAGGTCCGAAATACTCTTCCTTCACTCAGACAACTTTTTATTTTTTAAAATAATATTAAAAAGTTTTTAAGCTAAGAAATTCCCAAATTTTATAAATATTTTCACACTTTTGGGATACCATATGGTCATTTTGATTTTCCATCCTTGATTATCTTTAATACCTCATCAACTTCTTTTTTATTAATTTAATGGTAAAAATAAGGAGTTTTTTTATTGTTAACTATATTAAGATCATCAAAGCTGATCTTATTTTCATGAAATTTATTGAAAATTTTATCAAATTATCTCACCCACCTATATTGAATATATTAATTTAAGGTTTTTTTTTTATTTTCACCTTTAATACACTTTACTTGAATTAAATTTTTATTTATTTTTCTTTTTGTTTGGCTAGTTTGTGCATTTATCTTTCACTCTCTTTGGTATTCAATCTATTATAAAGATCACTAAAATTAGAATTCTTGGCCTTACAAATAATTCTCTTAAACTCCCTACGGGCCACATTATATTTTCCCAATTCTAAAAGCTTTTATATTTAAATCAATTTTTATAACAAAACCTTTTATAATTTATCCTTTTTTTTCTATTATTATTCCACCACTACATATTTTTATTTACAAAAACTTTTCTTTTTGATTCTTCAAGTTCATCTTTTTGCTACTTGTTTAATAATGCTTGTTACTTTGTCCCACATAGATTTTGCTTCTTCACAAAAAAAATCAAATTTTAAAATCTTAAAGTTTGCTCATAAATGTACTTTTATTTTTTAAATGCCCCGACCTAATTTTATGATAACTTATCATTTTATTTTTTATCTTTCAATTCTTCATTTTAAAAATCAAAACTAATAATTGATGTTGAGTACTTAATCTTCATTTAGAATGATGTTATAATCATTACATTCTTGACGACCTCTTTTTCTCAGAGAAAATAAATGTTTTTTATTAAATCCATTCTTATAAATAATAATATGCTCATCTCTTTTCTTAAATAAAATATTAGCAATAACATAATCATAAGTTAAAGTAAAATTCAACATGTTTCTTCATTTTTTATTAGTGACAATAAAACCGTAGTTACTATTAATATTTCTAAAATCTTCCACCACTCTATCCACATGTCAATTTAAGGCCTTGTTTGGGGCACCTTACAAGTGCAGACGTCATTTTCAAAACACCGCCGTCTCGTTTGG